CCAAGGCTGTCTACGATGTCCTCGAGAGGGATGCTGTGCTGTCAGCAACCGTGGGGATCAAGGATAAGTACTCGGCCTCGGAACTTGCCGCGCTGCAACAGCACATCGCTGAGCAAGGCGCCCTGGTGCTATGGTGTGACTCCGATCGTCAACTCGCTGACGGGCTGACGAATAGCGTCAAGCAAGAGATCATCAAGACCTTCCTGATCACTGGGGCTTGTTGCGCATGGATGGCGCCTTCATCTCCGCCAAGAAACGGAAGTCCATGGAGAAGGGCATTGCTCAAGCTCACGATCATCTTCAAGAGACGCGAGCGTTCGTTGTGTTTTCAGCAAACTTGGTGTCTCCATCCATCCTTTTCCGGGGTGTGTCAAAGAAGTCACCTTGGCATGTGTTGGATTGCATCACCAAGCCTTGCTAAAGCTTTTGGATTCCAAGTCTTAGCTACGCTAGTCGGTGTACCCTTGAGGGTCCTTGCGTAGCCATAGGCTACTCTGCGATCCCAGGATCACTCAGCGTGCCGTGACGGCCGGAAAAAGAGAGCTTCAGACTTGCGTTGGCAATTGTGCATTTTTGGGTGTGGTTCCTGGGAGACCTTGAGAGAGTGCGAAGGGGAGCCAGGCGCTCGACCTAGAAGCAAAATTGAAAGCGAGAAAAAGGTCAGGCGAGGAAGAGAGGGATTAGGGTGGGAAGGGCAGCCAGTGAGCTTGAGCAAAATTTGAGATGAAGTCGACAAACACAAAATTTGGGCGGTGGGGAAGGGGAGGAGAGGAGGAGGAAGAGAGGGATCGGAATGGTGGGAAGGGCAGCCACGAAAGCCTGAGGGCTCGTCCTACAATCAAAAATTGAGGGCGAGTTTGACTGAAATCACCAGGCTTGTACAAAATCCTGTTGTCTGGCACCACACGGTTGGTCAGCTCTTACCCGTCCACGCGCCGCCCGGCGTATGACTGACTGACTGACTGACTGAGTGACTGAGTGACTGAGTGACTGAGTGACTGAGTGACTGACTGACTGAGTGACTGAGTGACTGAGT